TGTGCGTGATGTGCCTGTGCGTGTGATGTACCTGTGTGCGTGTGCGTGTGATGTACCTGTGTGTGTGTGATGTGCCTGTGCGTGTGATGTACCTGTGTGCGTGTGATGTACCTGTGAGTGTGCGTGATGTGCGTGTGATGTACCTGTGTGCGTGTGCGTGATGTGCCTGTGCGTGTGATGTACCTGTGTGATATACCTGTGTGCGTGTGCGTGTGATGTACCTGTGTGCGTGTGCATGATGTGCCTGTGCGTGTGATGTACCTGTGTGATATACCTGTGTGCGTGTGCGTGATGTGCCTGTGCGTGTGATGTACCTGTGTGCGTGATGTACCCGTGTGTGTGTGAGACGTACCTGTGTATGTACCCGTGTGTGTGTGATGTACCTGTGTGTGATGTACCCATGTGTGTGTGCTGTACCCATGTGTGATGTACCTGTGTGTGTATGTGTGATGGATACGTGTGTGATGTACCTGTGTGCATGTGTGTGATGTACCTGTGTGTGATGTACGTGTATGTATGTGTGATGTACCTGTGTGTGGATGTGTTATGTACTGTGTGTGACGTACCTTTTTGTGTGTGGTGTACCTGTGTAATGTGCCTGTGTGTGTGTATGTGTGTGATATATACCTGTGTGTGATGTACCTGTGTGTGTGTGGTATACCTATGTAATGTGCCTGTGTGTGTGTGGTATTCCTGTGTGTGTGATGTGCCTGTGTGTGTGATGTACCTGTGTGTGAGATACGTGATGTGCCTGTGTGTGTGATGTACCTGTGTGTGAGAAACATGATGTACCTGTATGTGAGATACGTGATGTGCCTGTGTGTGTGTGATGTACCTGTGTGTGAGATACATGATGTGCCTGTATGTGTATGTGATATACCTGTGTGTAATGTACCTGTGTGTGGTGTACCTATGTAATGTGCCTGTGTGTGTGTATGTGTGTGGTATACCTGTGAGACACGTGATGTGCCTGTGTGTGGGTGTGATGTGCCTGTGTGTGGGTGTGATGTGCCTGTGTGTGAGACACGTGATGTGCCTGTGTATGAGACACGTGATGTGCCCGTGTGAAAGACATTGATATGATGCACCTGTGTATCACCACTATGTGCAGTTTTTAACGCCTCATCTTGTGAATGAATGGGTGAAGCTTCCAGAGCAGATCATCCCACCTCTGTCCCCTCTGATGGGACACGGCCGCCCCTCCAGCGGAGGGCCATTTGAAACAGACATGCTGCCTGCCGAGCTGAACATCCACTTCCGCCCACATGGGAGCCTGGCCCACACTGGGACTGCCAGGGTGAGGCTTCCTGCCCCAGCCTCCGTCTCCGCACACACGGGCATCAGAAGTCACACTGGGCTCCTGTGCCCACAAGCAGCCATACAGGCAACGAAGGGCAGGATTGGACAGACCGTGGTGCAGGGGTGGGCGACTGTCAGCAGGCACCTATGGCTCGTGTGTGGGTAGGTAGCTAGGCAGCTGAACCTGTGTCCAGCAAGCCTACCTCGTACTGCTGCTGGGGGTGGACTGCAGTGTCCATCTGCAAACTGCTACACTGCTCCTCCCTCCCGAATTCCCCAGCTCCTGCCCCAGGCACGCAGGCCTGCCCAGGCTGCAGCACGGGGCAACCACCCTCAACAGCCTAGTCAATTAAATCAAAACCCACGCCCTCGTCACACGAGCCACGCTCCGTGTGTGTGTGTGTGTGTGTGTGTGTGTGTGTGAGAGAGAGAGAGAGAGAGAGAGAGAGAGAGAGAGAGATTCCTCTTGCCCCTTCATCATCAGCGTTCACAGTGAGGTGAGGACTCACCTTTGGCATGCTTTCCTAAAGGCCTCTTGGGGAGCGGAGGCTCCGTGGAATGTGCGGACGTCTGCAGTGCGTTTTCTAGGCTGTTCCTGACGCTGCTGAGGGGGGTCTCGGTCCTCGGCGTGACCTGAGGGGAGGAGAGAAGCGGCTTACTCCTGACAGCCGGTGGAGAGCAGTTCCAGGGTGCCCTCCAGCTGCTTGAGTTCACCCCATTTCAACCAATCGTCAAAGGCCTGTGTTCCCAGGGAAGGACGTCACCACTGCCTGCCCCTCCCAACACTTTGCTGACAGCCTCGGGAAACCCCAAAGGGGAGCACGCCCCATCTGGTGTGCGTGTAGGGGTGGCTCTGCCAGACCCACCACGAGCCATGTAGACACCTACAGACGTGGCAGGGCCTTCCTCGGCATTTCCTGATCCCACGGTTCCCTGTACACCCCGGTGACAACTCCACCTGGGGGCTGCATCACACAGACGGGCTCACACGTGCAAAGTGGGCTGTAGGGGGCTCCCTCAGCCGAGCGTGTAACCGTGAACCTGCACATCCTCGCGGTCCGCCCCCAAAGTGCGCCTCAGAGCAGTCCACCACGGGAGACCCACGGGGCAGCGGGTCCACGGTGGGGGTTTCCACTCAAGGCTACAAAGCAAACACGCCGAATCGTTGCACGGAAAGCCAGCGTGCTTCGTACGCGTCTACCCGAGTTCCGATAGAAGGAGCAGGCTGAGGACACACAGGAAGAGAGCAAGACCACGCGCACTGGGCAGTGAGTGCCGCCCAGGGCCCCTGCAGGAGGCTGAAAGCCAGGGTGCCGGGGTGGGGGGCCATATGCAGAAAAGGCTGGACCGTGGGGGCTCTGCAGAGGGGACAGAGGGGGGTGAGAGTCGTGTGGGGGAGGTGGCAGGAGACACTACCACTTTCCACCCCCTTAATAAACTGTTAGCTGCGAAGGTTAGTGGCCTGAACCCACCAGTGCTCCTGTAAGGGCTGACAGCCTGGGAAACCCCATCTGGGGGTGCTATGAGCAGGAACTGATGGGATTTGGGGTGGGGTGGGGTTTCAATCTGCAAACTTCATGCCCAAGATACTTACGCTGCGTTGACTTTACAATAACATTACAGTCTCTAAGGTACTGCAAAGTTTTAAGCCAAAGTAGAGACAGGTACAAGATCCTAAAGTTCATCAGAGGTGGTGTGCTGTGGGTGAAAGCCGTGCTGTGCAGGAGTCCAGACTCACAGCCGCACTACAGCAGAACTGTCCCCTGGGTCCCCTTAGAAATCTTTACCCACCCAGGCAGTCCCATTTCCCCCCAACAGGGTGGAGGCCCTTCAGTCAGCGGCCGAGTGGGTGCTGGACCACCACACCACGAGGGCTCCCCTTTTGTGGAGATGCGGGCAGGCAGCCCCCAGGCTACAAACACCCACCTGAGGGGCAGCCAAGTCGATACTGACCCGTCGACCCCACGTGTAACAATGGTGCCCAGTCTGCAGCACCCCATCACTGCTGCAGCCTGAATCCGTGCCCCCTGCTCACTGACCCTAGCTAGACCCACCACCTCCGTTGCTGAGCACGCGGCGGCGGTCCGTCCGACACGCTGGGCCACATCTGTGCGGTAGCCCCACGCCCAGGGTGCTTCTGAGAAGGACCCCCGCACCTCTTCTCCCAGCCTGCGGGCAGGCAGCCCGCGACCCCCGCAGGGCAGCTGCCCGTGTCTTTGCTCGGCAGGACACGCCTGCGCCTCCGTGGGCTTGGCTCGGGCTGGGGTCCCAGTGCACCAGTCTGCTCACGCTCCTCTGACGAGCACAGCAGTGCTCTCCTCCCTCATGCCGACCCTCTCACAGCTCCTCGTGTGGTGGAGACCCCCCCAACCATAAAATTATTGTCGTTGCTACTTCCTCACTGCCACTTTGCTACTGTGAAAGGGTCAACCGACCCCCAGGTTGAGAACGCTGCCCAGCGTGCCGCCGTCCACTGGCCCTGGTGTCAGGACCTGCTTTTTGTCATGCTGTCGCCTGGCAGCACCGGTAAACTGCTTCTGGTGCTCTGCCTAGCAGGGATGCCCCGCCCACCTCCTCCGGTGACTCTGGATGGAGGTTCCGGCAGCTGCGCTGTGAAAGTCACGGCGCTGCTGCTGCTGCTGCATCCGTTCATGAATAATCTTCAGCAAAGTTTACTGCCTGTGCCATGGCTGGTGGCCTCCCATGAGACTTCTGCGTCCTGCTGGCTCACCTCTCTCTGAATGGGCACAATCGTGGTGAGGCAGCTCGTTCTTTGACAACCAACGGCAGAATTCCCGACCTCCCTGGTCAGTGATGCGCTCGTCTTCCCAGGAGGGTGGGAGCACTGGGCCGCGGGCCAGTGCTGTCAGCAGCAGAAGCCCGGGTGCGACGGGCGAGAAGCCTGGCACCAAGGCAGCACTCCTGTGTGCAGCTGGGACCCTGCTCGGCCGTCTTCACGCGCTCTGCGGTTTAAAGGCATCCTGGTGGGCAGGAGGATAAGTGCTGGGGGTGCTAACCCAAAAGTCAACGGTTCTAAGACACCGCCACATGGGAGCAGGTGGGGCGCGTCTGAGTCTGCATGATGGCAAGCTGGGGACCGCGTGCTGGACTCGGCCGGAGTGAGCAGGGTCTGGCGCTGATTAGGGTCCTCGACGCTCCCCGGATGATTCTAGTTTGCTCTCTGCTCTTGTCCGCTGGCTGCCAGCTGGGGCGAGTGAAGCCACAGAGCACAGGAAGCCCCTTTCCAGGCCGTGGCCTGCGACATGCGGGAGCGTGAGGGTCATGCAGCGGCGGCGGCCGGCTAGAAGGGCGTTCCCCAAGTCTCCCAAACACTCACATTTTCCAGGAGCCTTCGTCCCGACTCCGCTCCTTTGTTTACATTGAAAGCTGCCTCCGCTGCATTTCCCAGAAAGGCTGTTTGGAGTTATTTTTGGTGGCGGTAATGTGCCCACGTGACCTGGCCCGTTCCCTCGCATGCTCTCTGACTCACACACACACACACACACACACACACACACACACACACACGGCAGGGCAGCGGCAACAGCAGCAGCAGCAGTGGATATACATGAAGACGCAGGCTCCACGTCTCCCGTGCTGCCGCTGATGCTGCCAGGCCCGTGGGATGCCCACAGATGGTCTCTCTCAGGTCAACATCCTGGTTTTCAACAAGCACCTCGCTGCCTGCTTTAGGCTCATTCAAAACACCTATGTGCCATAGCCCGTCATCCAGGGCAGAGTGTGGGTGCAGGGGCTCTCGCAGTGCCCCTGCCTGCTCTAGGGCACCCTCCTCTGTACAGGGTCACTAGGCAGCCCCACGGTGCTGCCCACTCTGGGTCACCCACAGCAGGGCCTTCGCACCACTGTTCCCACCACGGGGACACTTCCCCACCCTCGCCTGAAATAGCCTGTTCGTCTCCTCTGCTCCCAGGTCACCTCGTGAGCCAGGCCCCCTCCAGCCGGCAGGGCGGGCTGCTGTCCACTCTTCACTGAAGCCTCTGTCAGGCACAACACAGGCACCTAGGAAGCGTCTGCTTGAGAGGCGGCTGCAATGACCCCTCCACCCACCACCCACAGCAAAGCGCCAACCTTGCCAGCAGAGTTCAGTGACTACCCCTCCAACACACACACAGACACTCCCCTCCCCCCCAAAGTGCCAATCACACTCCCGAAGGCCACGGACCACGGCAGCATGTTCACGGGGCTCTCGGGGAGGCCCGGGCTGCACAGAACAGGCCCACGGACCACCGGCAGGCCTGCTGCATGTGCGCTTAGGGAGCAAACCTCGAACGCGACCTGACCTGTGCAGCCCTGGCTCTGGAGGGGTGTGTTGGGGAGGAGGGGGGATCTGGGAGCCCCTACATGTCCCCATGGCGAGGACGTGTGAGGTCACTTCAAGGGGAAGCAGTTGGCTGGCCAGTCAACCTTGTCTGCAAGCCCCAGGTGCCAACATCCAGCCCGACCATGGGCTGCACACAGCATCGGCCAAGGGCCAGCCTGCTCATTCTCAGTCAAGGTCTGAGAGGCGTTGAATCTCACACAGGCTTCTAAGCTTGAGGCGCAAAACACCCCGAGACGCAGGCAGTTCCTGGGTCTCCAAGGGCCCTTCCCTAAGCGCGTTTCTGAGTCTGTGGTCAGCAAGAAGGGGCACAGGGAGTGGCTGAGCCTGACTGGGGCAAGATGAGGCTCACCACTTTTCTGAGGGCTTAAGTGCTGTTTGTGCAGAAAGCGCTCAGTTCCCGGGAAGTCAGGCCCGGGAGCCCGGGCAGTTCTGCCGTGGCCAGGTCGGGGTGACTCCACGGCAGTGGGCAGAGTCGCTCCGAGTCCGCATCCACTCCTCGGCAGCGAGACAGATCTGAGTGGGGTTGGTTTCACAGCTTCCAAAGAAGGGCAGATTTACATCACAACAGTGCAGCGCTTACGTGCAGTGACAAGTGTGTGTTGTCTCTGCGTCCTGCTCAGAACTCAGGGGCTGTGGTCACTTCCAGAACACCAGCCACCAGCAGGGAGGGGGTGGGGGGGTGGAACATGCTAACATCCGAAGCCGGCCTCGTCCTCCGCTGGGCCCAGGCAGACCCTTGCACAGGCTTTGGGGACTGGGCCCGTCTGCAGACATGTGGGCCCCCAGCAATGACAGCCAGCCCCTCCCAGCACTACACTTCCAGCGTGTCAAGTGCCTGGGCGGCAGAGACTCCACCGACTGAGCCCCCAGGCCCAAGGCTGCTGGGGCAGGCAGACCACTCACAGCAGAGCCCTCTGGTCCAGGGGACCAACAACCGGCCCCCAGCAGCACAGACCGCAGTAGTCTTAGCAGCAACACTGCCAACACGGGGGTCCTGACAGAGACCCCCCCACACACACTGCTCTTCCTGGGGAGGTTATCTCTCCACAGCAGCAGATATGCGGGGGTAGGGTCCTGACCCAGGCCACCCCTGCCCTTCTCCCTGGAGTAGGCAGGCTGCGGTGACCACCGTCCGCACATCCGCCCCACATGCCGCTGCGGTCACGAGCCGGCCCCGAAGGCCCTCTATCCCATCTGTGACGCATGTGCAATGGTTCATCCTGACAAACAGGGGGCGGGGGCACCTGCTTGGGGAGCCTCAAACGTGACAGGGACCGATGCCGTGTCGTGT